ATTCATTAAACATGTTGTTCCGCGGACTTCACTTTTAGAAGTGTACAATTAGTTCCAAAAACTCTCCGCTAGCCCCTCTACCAGGGGTAGCAACCATTCCGTGTAGAAGCTCAATGCCATGAAGATTGGCATGGCCAATGTAATAAAACGAAAACACGTCCGAACAACTTAAACACAATAATCGAATTTAAAAAAATGGAAAAGATTTCACTAAAGCTCTAGGTTGCATTTAAAAGCTCATAATTTTCAAACAAACAAAGATATTTTTTTCTAAATTTTTTTCAAGACAGTTAAGGTCAATTACCCCGCTTCGGCTTAAGTTCTGTGACAACCTGAAACATACTTTAAATTTTTTTCTTCGATATTGTAACATATTTCTAAAAATTTTATTTGCAACCAAGTAGTCAAAATAAAAAAAAATAATTTAACCATTTCTTATGCAAATAAACAATTCAAGAATATGTCTTACGCGAGAAAGCGCATTATGCGGCATAAAGACAATATCTTTCAAAGAATCGTATTATGCGAGAAGCCGTATTAAGCATGATTGTCTCAACGAAGTTATATATATATATATATATATATATATATATATCGTATATTGTATATATAAACATATATGCAATATGAATGCAATAAATTATCTCTATTACTATTCTACAAAGGGTGTAGCATTAACGACAATAACATATGTGATTCGAAATTACGAAGGACCACGGAATAATACTCAAAAATAAATACTGCGTATATTCCAATAATATATTAAAAAATATGGTTACAATCCAATACATCATATTTTAGTAGATTATAATATAGGCACATGTAATAACAGTTATATAATGTAGTGCATTGGGTTACATTTTGATACAAATTGGCTAACTTAGATAACTATACAGAGTTCCTAAGCGTTAGTTTAATTTCATCAAAACATTTTCATTTCTACCAATTTCAATGATTATAGATTGACATTTGTTAATATATTTTTCTCTTCTGATACACGAAATTTATACTGGTATACATAGTCAAAGTTGTTTTCAGTCGAACATGTGTGTATATTATATATATATATATATATATATATATATATATATATACATATACTGTTCCATATACATTAATTAAAGAATTGAATTGATTATAAATCAGAGATGCAAGAAGAAGTATCAGTTCAATATATTTTCGGACCAAATTTGGAATATGCAAAAAGTGTTTGACATTTTAAATATAGTTACTTTCATTTGTAATCAATTAAAAGTATTTATTTTAAGATAACATCTCATTGTAAGAAGAAAATACAAATTCAGTACCAATGGCGTTTTTTTTTTTAGATTGTAAACAATTGAAAACATTTGATAACATTAATATATGATTCATGCGGCATTTTATTTATATTTAGGCCCAACAAATTTATAATATTTAGTAAAAGAAAACATTAAAAGCGTTACATTTATCCATATATAAGTCTTCAAATGTGTTCACAAGATAGATACATTATAAGACATTGTACGAAAACGAAATACTTTTACATGGAGTTCGATATTATCAATTAAGTGAAATGAATTTTAAAGAATTGGAACATATTATAAATCATGTATAAATGTGGAATAATTGAGATATTAAAATTTCGCAGGACTAAATAAAAATTGACTGAGCTTATTCCCAAAATAAAAATAATTCCATTGAAAGTTTATTTGAAAATAGTATGCAGTTTATTATATAACAATATATAATGATACATTAATAAAAATATTTGTTAAGCCCATATAGTATATTATATATATATATATATATATATATATATATATAAACATATATATATATATATATATATAACATATATATATATATATATAAACATATATATATATATATATATAAACATATATATATATATATATATATAAACATATATATATATATATAAACATATATATATATATATATATATATAAACATATATATATATATATATATATATACCGTTGAGTATGTTTTTAGGGGTTTGTTTACATATTTCTGTACTTTGTGTACAATTATACTTGTAAAATTACGGCAATAATGCGCCAAATAAAATATATTTTGCCTATATAACAATATGTGTGATAATAAAATCTTATTATATGTAACGAATCTACAATTGTATATAAATCATTGCCTATAAACCTCGTTAGCAAACATTGTTTAATATAATTAGATAATATAACGTTATGCATTTTGTGTATTTATAAAATATGAAAAAATATTATATATACTAAATATTTTATATATGTATCTTTTTATAAAAAATAATAAAAAATACATTTGAATTCTACTTCAGAATAAAAATCCTCATAAAAAAGTGTTCATAATCGATTAGATTTATTATTATATCAGATCTAAAATTAATAATGAAGACCTCAAATACTATATTTGCAACGTGTGATCACGTGATAAAAAATTCAAATGTGTCCTATTCCAACTTTAATGAGTAATCAACGCATTTTTTATATTTTATTTGAAATCTACTACATGTGGACTAAACGATCATATTTATATTCTATTTCGATAATATAAAAAACAGTTTGAAGAAGGAACTGCTCATTTAAAAGTAACTCTCAAGGAATCAAGACATCTTTTTTCTAAAAGGAACTTATACATAATGTAATAGTACATATTACTTTTGCTCCAGGCTATCACATCTAATGAGAGCTTTAAATTGTCAGACAAAAGAGTAATCTAAAAAAAACCATAAAAAGCACCGAATATAACAACGTTTTTCATCAATATCCGTGTAATACTTTAATTATATGTGTAAAAATTGAACCGATTTGATTTAATAATATTCTTCACTTTTTTTTTTCAATATAACGCATTTCCTTCTTGAATAACTTAACAACTTTATAAGTAAAATTAACAAATTTATGAGTAAAACTAATGCATAAAACATATATAATTTTCAGATTAAAACTTGATATAATTAAAACTTATATATTACCTTATGTAGCTCTTCGAGCTAACAGGAGCTGAGATTATGAAATCATGGCAACGATATAAACCGTCCTATTTACGGAGATTGTTATAAAATGAGTCCCACTTTTATTTTTATCCACAAAAGCATAATCAACAGACCACAAAAACTTATTTTTTCAAATTTATTTTAACCACAATAGAAAGATTGATCGCGTTTTTAAAATTGTCTCATACAAAAATCGTGGACCAAATAGATAAAATACTATTGGATATGATCGTTAGTCTTGCGAAAACCAGCCTTTAAATACAAAAAATATAATTAAATAATCTTATATTCATAATATCAACACCTGCCCAATCGCTTGAGAGCTAAGTTGTGCAGTTTATATATAATAAAAAATCAGGTAATGGTATATAAATTTTAAAAATTTGTCGCTGCTTTTTGCCATTGAAAAAGTTCATAAACCTTCTTCTATATTAAAATAAAATCATCGAAATATACTTTATATAAAATTACATATGAAGCATCTCATTAATAGATTATTGCACATAAAAATCAATATAAATTAAAAAAGTAAAAAATAAACATATGTTATAAAATTTGTGTACAAATATCTATATAATTTGAAAATACTTACTTATTTAATTAAATTATTTAGGTAGTTTGCGATAAACCCTGTTCAAGGTTCTTTTCTATATCATTATATTTATACTACCTACGTATTAAAAAATTATAGCATAGCAATCACTGTTTTCTGAATATTCTAAATTTCTAACCAAAATAAATTGGTCATGCAGACTCTATTTGTAAATAACTGACAGTCATGAATACCTATATTTTGGCATAATTTCAATTTATTTTTGCTTAGCGCATTAATTTCTCTATCATCTTTTCCTATACGCTATATTTAAAACTTATATTTACATATGATAATACGTTTAATACATTTTTTTATATCTTAATGTACTTTAAGTGGTATCAATATTTGTATTTTTTATTTATTCTCTTAATATATAAAAATTATTTAATAAAAATAGCTTAAAAAACTATTTAAAAATAGATTTTCGTATGTGAAAATTTACCTAAAAATTAATATATATTTTTATAATATATCAAGTCAATTTTAAAATCATAAATTTTGGGTCTTAAAATAAACAAAAGTTGTGATCAAAAATAAACGACACTTTTAGAGAGTTTTTAAAGCTTGTATTTAATATATATATATATATATATATATATATATATATATATATATATTGTGCAAATATATACAGATATACACATACAAATATTCATATTCATTCGACAATATACCGCATATTCTTCATATACATACATACGTATGTGTGCGTGTGTATATAAATCATAATATATATAAATTTTTCACGCATGACAATTGAAAAAATATTTCATATAAAACATTTATTTTTCAAGCGATTCGATACAGTACATTTTTAAACTGATAAAGTAAAAGAATTTGCCGCAAAAAACCATGGTAAAATAAACTACCTTATATTAAATGCTTTTCAGATGACCATGCTTGTGAATTTTAGATATATATTTTATCAAATACATCAAGGTATATATATATACATATATATATATATATATATAGTATATATATAGTATATATATATATATATATATATGTGTGTGTGTGTGTCTATGTGCGTGTTTCTATGTATGGGTGTATATACAATCTTACAAACATTCATATACATATATATATATATGAATATATACATACACACAAATATACATACAAATTCATAAGTATATATATATATATATATATATATATATATATATATATAGGACGCATATGCGTATGTTCACGTTGCTGCATATAAAAATAAAGCATAACATTATGAATTACAAATTATATATATATATATATATATATATATATAAATTGCTAAGTAAATACTAAAATAATATTGTTGATACTAATTTTGTAGTATATTAATTAAAAATTTGAAACCTATATACTCTAGATTGCCAATAAAAAATTATTAAAAATGGAATGTCACCTTCAAAGGCAAGAAAAATATCTTTATTTTAGCACAGAGACGCTCATAGGTCTGTCGTGATATGAGATAAGTAAATTCAAGTTTATTTGCAAATATCCTAGAACCATCAGGAAATTCCACGTTTAACCAGGAAAAGAAGCTATAATTCCGAATATAATAAACTCACCAACTTTTCGTCACAAAAAGTAGTTGCATGATATTTCAATAATTTTCGTAATATATGAGACCTAAGCTATATAAAATAAATATATTTCTCATATTTCCAGGTCTTCATCTAAACTTATTGGTGTATGTGACACGAGTTAAATTTCGTAATTTATAACGTAAGCAATAATATTTACAATTAATTCATAAAAACAATCTAATTTTTAACCATACAGTTTTATAATTACTATTGGATATAAAAACCATTTACGCAAAAGTTATCCCTTTTATCCTCTCATGCACTGAATATTTTTACCGTCATTAAAAACTATTTGTAACCCTGAAGAATGTGGACAATTTAGCATAATATTCAGTGAAGTTGTTAGACGCCAGAATTAGCCTCGCGCTTCAGATGGCATCAAAAAGGTTTTAATTCTTTAATGTGTAAATTTTCCCATCATTTGATTGGTAATTAACCTCATTTACTCATAAATTTAAAGACTAAGGAGGACCCCGAAAACCTTCATTTTGCCAACGCCCACTCGAAGCTAGCGCCGCCAATAATAATATTTCTTATACTATTTATATGTTATTTGATTCATGCTAACACAGATTTCCATATGATAAATCCATTTCCGATCTAATCTTTGATCCTAAAAGTCCGCCACGAGAAACAGATAGATAACACTACAAGTCATTCACAGAATTATATCCAAAGTAAATTCAACCAATATGGAACTTGTAAAAAGTAACATATAAATTGACAATGTTGGAGTTTATATATTCCGTCTTTTCAGGCTAGTGCATTAAGCCTTTCGCTACGAGTGTCGTTCATGGACGACATCCACTCGACTTAATTTAAAATATTAATTATTATTGCAATTTTTAGATGTCTAGAAGAGTAATTTTCATAAAACATGTTGTTTTGTATGGTCATTTCAGTAGTGCTCCAACATCGAACGACAGTAGTGCGACGAAGCGACACTCGTGTAGCGAAAGGAATAATTCATATACTTTACTTCGTTTAGGTCATTGCTAAACTTGAACATCACTTATCGCAATTATATACGTAGAATTTAAAAAACCAGATAATTCTTAAAAAATATAAATATAAAATAAAATACGAATTTAAAATCCATTTAAAGGAAGATCTACCACGCGCTGTCATGAAATGCCTAGTATAATTATATGTTTCATTTACCAGCTGAGGTTTCTAAAAACCTATCCTATAGTATTACGTGGTTTTGTGCCAATTGATATATTCCTCGGTCACGAAGGCCGCTACGAGCGCAAAAATAAAGAGCGCAAAAATAATTATACCTGCTTTCTGTTGATCGGACAGGGGTCTGCGTTCACCAGAATTGTAACTACGTCCATAAGAAGCGCCCGATTTACGTTCCCTTACAGGTGTTGCATTTGCATCAGGTTGAGTCCTGGATGAAGCGCCTGAAGTTGAAGCAGAGTCCACAGCGTCCTGATTGTCTCCAAGTGTATTCACAACCAAAACAGGAGATGCTGGCCCTGCAAGCTCTTCACCCTGATCCGACGTGCCTAGTAGACGTATGGGAACCACGCGAACTAGGTACTCGCAGTCCGGTTCCAAGTCGATTAATGTGAATTTAGTTGCCTCACCCTTATATACCTTACGTGAACAATATAACGGATAAGAATTACTGGATATTAATTAAATAACTGAAGACAAATTCTTCATTTTTAAGATAGCATATTGTGTATACACTCAATATGATTTCAAAAAATGTTTGCAAACTCTGTCTGCTTACTCTTATTTTAAGACTACTTTTTTTAGTCGACTTTTACAAAAAAAAACTTTATTTACTATATATGTATAAAATCTCATGAAATCAGTAGAGATATTTACCTGCTTGAATTCACGATCCTTCATACTTGAATACTGGACAGAATATACCAAGTTTCCGACATTACTTTTACACGGTACCCAATCAATGGAACATGTGTTTAGCGTGACGTCTACCATTTTTGGAGCTTTCAATCCGCTAGGAGGAGCTATACTCGTGCTAAACGTTACTGGTTCTGAGAAATATCCTTGGCCGGCTTCATCGTTTGATGCGCATATTCTAAATGTATATGCTGTTTGCTCTTGAAGCTTATTAACTTTGCAAGTTAAAGCCATGCCTTGGTATATGCTCTGATATTCGTGGGCCCTTTGATTGAACATCTCGACATAATATTGTGTGAAATTCAAATTGCGACCATCGCCCCACTTCAATTTCAAAAAGTTGTGACCGACGCCTGCCACTTCAAGAGCAGGAGGTGCAGGAGGCAGTGGAAGAGTGCATATTTTAATAGGCGAAGAAAATGGTCCATTGCCTACATTGTTTACAGCTTGTACTCTAATGCGATATTGCGTTTCTGGGCGAAGATTGTCTAGTACTACGGTAGTTGTATCGCCGTCAGTTCTAATAATTTGATCACCATATTCTACATTATACTGGATTATGTCAGAACCATTTGATATTGGCGATTTCCAACTGACAGAAATTTCGTTCGGTGTCGCCTCGCAAAGAGGGGGACACATGGATCCAGGAGCAGAAGCTGGAGTAAAAGTGGCCGTCGAGTTGGAATACGAGCTTGTGCCTGCGTTATTTGTAGCAGCTAATCGTACAAAATATGAAGTAAATGCCATCAAATTGCGAGCATCATAAAAGTTATTAGAACCACTATACAATAAATTATAAGAACTATCATCATCGGTATTTGATATCTCTAGACGGTAACTAGTGATGGGTGAACCATTGTTTAAAGGTTCATTCCACTTTATGTGTAGGTGAGTTGGAGAGCAAACATTTACCTCAGGGGCTGATGGTGTATTCGGTGGAGCTGAACCACTTGAAAGAAATAAACTATCAGACCATAAACCTGCACCTACTCTATTTATTGCACGAACAGAAAACGCATACATTTTGCCAGGTTGAAGTTCAGATATCCTGCATTCTTTATCTGGACCATGATAAGCCACGCGTTTTTCGTTTTCTGGTGTGGTAAGCTCGACATCGTATTCTAATACTGGAGCACCTCCATCGTAGGAAGGTTTTTCCCAACGAATTCCTATCATTGTGGCCTCCGGTCGCATGCTAGACACTGGTGAATTACATTGACCTGGGCACACTGCTTCTGTGATTATGGTTGCAGTGTCAGAAAAATCACTAACCCCGCCAGAACTTTCACAGTTGACGCGTAGTTTGTATTCTGTACCAGGTTCGAGATGATCACAAACTGTCTCGGTGTCGGATCCGCTGTATATAAGTACAAAATCTTTCTGTTTTGATGATAATTCTAAATTATATTTATGAACAGGAGATCCTCCTTTATCTGCCGGTGGCTGCCATTTAGCTTTAAAAGAATGCGCATGCATTTTGCCCTTAACAAATGGTTTTGACGGGGCACAAGGTCTATCGGGCAGTGTTTGGAACGTAGCAGTTTCGCTCCACGTAGACTTTCCCTCATCATTTTGCGCCTGCAATCGAAATCTAAACTCGCTATTTCTCCGCAAACCATCCTTTTTAATTTCAGTAGCGTTACCAGAATAAACAGCTAAAAATCCATGTTTAGTCGAAGGGTCTTCCATCTGCAATGTATAGTCTTCATCTTGAGCTTGGCGTCTCCATTTAATATGCAAACTAGAGGGCGAGGCGCTATGAAGTTCAGGAGCAGCTGGCTGAGCAGGCGGAAAACCGGCAGTTCTGTACGCGACGGCATCTGAAAAATTACTGCGTCCGCAATCGTTAACGGCCGCAAGTCGAAATCTGTAGGTTTTATTAGGATGCAATTTCGTTACGGTGGTCTGCTTGCCCTTGCTTTTAGTTAATTCAACAAAATTTGTACCTCCATTACCCTCGTCGTATTCTAACAAATAATGTAATATATGAGAACCGTTATCAACGGCAGTGCTCCATCGCAGTTGCAACGATGTACGCGTTCGGCTTATCAGTTTTGGAGCGGCTGGAGGATCCGGTTCACAAGCCAACGTGATGAATACTGCAGGTTCGGATGGAGCCCCAGTATGACCATCAAGGCGAGCCTGCAAACAAACCGTATACTGCTGCCCTGGGCGCAAATCTTGAATTCGGCACGATTGAGCCGTGCCGCTGTAAATTGACTTGAATCTACCTTCTTTGCCATATCGTGGATCTCCTAAGAGTACATCATAAATAATTGGATAATCACATGGCTCGGTCGTTGGTCCGCTCCAAACGAGCAAAGCGCTCCTGGCCGTAACTTCACTAACATTTGGCGCAGCTATAGTAGATAACATATCTTCGACAGAATCTGTTTCTTCTTCTTCGGCCATCTCCTCAGATCCATGACACGGCCCATCATCTACTGGTGATGAATTATTTGTTAGGCCATTTATAACTTCTTCAGAAGGCTGACCTTCTCGTATTTGCTTTTGAACAAGTTTTCTTTTCAATTTCACATATTGCTTTTGGGTTCTTTCGTCTTTTCTGCTATACCCGGCAGAAGACGGTGACTGAGGCGGTGAACTCTGCGCCATCGTATGTGGGGGTCCATAGTGGGAACCCCGTGCAGCCATCGGTGGATGATGGAAGTGTGGTGGGCCGACTGGAGTAAAACCCATGGGAGGGACGGGTCCTGTGTGATAGTATTGCTGTTGTGTCATGTTGCCAGGTACCTGCAATTAAGATTTCATATTACTTTATCATAGCGCACATAATTAATAAAATAATTTATAAAAAAAAGAAAACAACAACATTAAAAATAACTTTGAATAATTAATTAAATGTTCGACTAATATCACTAAATAAACGAAACAAAATATTTAATTATAGTATATTGATTTAAAAATAATTATTGTAATTTTTATAATTATAGCTATAAGTTATAATATCATTTAGATCGGTAACACAAACTAGTTAATTTTATACAAGTTTATACTTTGCACAACAATAATTAAAACAATTATATTTGATAATAGTTGAGAATAGCACAATTTAAATTTTTAATTTTTTTAAACTCACACGTTGATTTCTAGATGCACGTTCGTCATCCATTCTGATAAAACAAATTTTCAGACTACAAACTCAAATATTTACAATTATGAAAAAAAATAACACAAGTTGATGTTACGATCAATTATTACGTTTCTGTTATACAAACTTAATTTAATTTAAAATGTATCGTCAGCTTAAACGAATTCAGAACTACTTTTTAAAAATCTTGCGTTACTGATAACATATTGCAAGTGAAAATCGGATACGTATGACATTACACGTAGACATTAGAAGACGTATGTAGCAGCGTACGTAGAGCATCTGATCGATAAAATTGTTTATCGAGCAATATAAAATATAAATCTGCATATATGAACGTTAAAAACCACGTAGACAAACTGAACAGTCTTTTCGTAATTTAATAAATAAGGTTGATATTGTAGAATAATTCAATATATTTTATCCCTTAAAACTATTAGAAAGCTATTTTAACATTGCACGATGTAAACAGGAGATATTAATGCATATGTGCGATTAAAAGTTCGCGTATGCTATAACTAACACCTCATACTTAAGTTTTAATCAATTTATCAAAAGTGAATAACGTGTAAAAAATAAATAATAACATACATCTACTTGTAAGAATAAGTTTAGGAATTCAAAAGATTTGAAAAAAATATAGTATCGACATAAATATTTAATTAAATTAATAACAAAACCTATAGTTATGAATTAGATGTTAAGAATTATTAACGCACATCAGTCATGTTATCGCCAAATCCAAAACTACAAGTGATATCATTTATAAAACATTTACAATTAACTCATTCTTCAACTTACCAAGTTTTAATAGGGACAATTAAAAAAAACTTATCAAGAGCGATAATACTAAAATAAATTCTATAACAGGACCTAATCATAACCAATATAAGTAATGGCATCTCAGAAGACGGTCATTACAGATTAAACTTTTGATTGAGCATCTCATCTTTCAGTTCGAACGAAATATTCCAGATATGTAAAAGCTTACATAAAATTCCTATCAAACAAATCATTCATGGATTTTATTTGACATATTTGAATTAAAACGCCAATAGAATGGGATGTTGAAATAAGATTCGTCTACTATAATCGATGTAATATGAGATGTGCTATATTTCAATACATTATTGACAACATTCCAAAGCGAAATCATATCAAATCAAATCAATTTTGAAACAGAAATATAAAACCAATGTGAAACACAAATCTTAAGAATGCGTTAAAAGTTTTTACAAAAACAATAATTATATTAACTTTATATTTAGATGTTATAAATGCCATCTATATATTTAATTTCAGGCATATACAAAAAAAAGATTTTCATTGTTAGATTCGATTTATGTAATTTTCAATAAAAAATAACAATGTATTTTCATATATAATTGTCGACATTTGATCATTAACACGATTTGTTCAAAACCTCAAAGCTTTAAAAGTTAAAATATTTTGTAATGTTATTGTTTATATTACGATTAAATTATGTATAATATGCAAATAAAAAACTGTAGCATTTACTTCCATTGCAATGGAATACCTATGGAATTCTAAGAACTGAAAATATTAGATAGAAGATTAATGATACACCATTATGGAAATTGACTAGAACTTCATTTAACGTGATTTATTTCAGCTAGATAAAACTAATAATAATTAAATACAGTTAGAAAATGCGGACCAACGAGAGTAGGCATGTATATTTGTATGTATAAGTTTACACATAGATCATATATTTATATATGCACATATATTATAAATAGAGGGAACAAGAGGAAAAATTGACTGTTATGTGGAAAACCGTGCTAAACGGAAGTCACCATAAAACAACACCTTTGTTATTTATCATATTAAAAAGGGACAAACACTTTAAACAAAAAGTAAATATTAATATGTTTAAAACCCAACTAATCAGCTATAAGAATACTAATTTATTTCAATAATAATACAAATATAAAAAACATATTTTAGATATTGCATTTTCTTTAATAATTTCATTTGAATTATTTAAACTAATTTCAATAAATAAGATTTAACATTCTATTTTCACTCACATTTAATTGCTGTCGCTTTAAACAAACTAGCTTATACGCACATAAAATTTAGTTTTGACCATAAAACGGGGAGTTCCCATCTTATCCACATATTACCATCATAGACATAGATTACTAATCGTTAGAATTAGTAACCTGTAACATACATTTTGTAGTATTTTGAAAAGCAGAACAATGAAAATGTTATTGTAGATATAAGCTAATTATAGGATTTTGTTTATAATTTCGTATAAATGCTAAATTAATTAATTTCGTTAAAAAAATATTTTCAAAAACCGTGTATTATCGAAAACTTGTAAAACGAATACCGAGTAAAATAGGGTATACGTGTATGTATTATTAACGAATCCTATTTTTCGGTTAATTTAACTTCACTTGCCAAAAACAAGTAAATTGAACATGATAGCTTAAAAATAAAAAAATCAAATTCAATTGTGAGTACCTATACAAATATAGCTCAACAATTCTCAATCGGTTTTTTTATACAAAGTACCGGAATTCGATCTTGGCAACTGAAATCTATGAAATGATTATTATAAAATATGTCTCAAACTATCAAAAGATAATTAAAAATAGAATTTAGAAGAAAATTTTCTAAGTTGAATCTAGATTTTCAAAATTTTGGAACTTTTTAGTCTTACTCTACGCAAATTTTTCGTAAAAATATTTATGAAAAATTTTATTCGTCTAATACTTTATGCCTTTAGCGGTTTGCCTAATATAAGGCACAAGGTTCAGGCTGAATTCAAATATGTTAATGGCATATATGTATATATATACGCACAATATTTAAAGATTCTATTTATATATTTTACGCCCTAACAGATGCTTTTCAAATGTGTTCGTGGGCGGTAGGAAATCACCTCTGGCAAACATTATGAAATTATAAGTAATGCCATTTTTAGACATACCTACTGAAATGTACTATTTAATTCGCGTTTGAATTCATTACAAATTAAAATCCTATTTGAAATATATTTAAAAAAATATTAAAAAAAATAAAATTTACTATTACAATTAAATTTAAATAAACATATTGAATGACAATGATATTCGTTTTTGTGTGTAAGTATATTTATTAATCATGCACAATTAAATATAAATGTAGTATTTAAGTTAAGAGTACACCTTATTATCATATCACAGTAATGAAAATATATGCAAATAATCAAGAAAACATCATGTATGGATCATAATTGCATTTGTTTTTCTTACAACATTATAATATTTTCTATTAATTCATTTGCATTTATGATACAGGTGTTTTATTGCGTTATTTATCTATTAATATACAAGTTGAGTATAAACTTGCACCTGGTTAGTAGAAAATATTTGTTTTATATTATCCATAATGTTGTTTTAAAAAACTTTCGAATCGTTACTATGGTAGAATACCAAAAAAGGCAAAAATTTTCATTTTCGTTTTTCGGCCAATTATTATAACTTACCCTGCGAGAAGTTAGTAATAAACATGATGAAAACGATAATGCTACAATGAGACCAATAAAAATATGTACATAAATATTATATATAACGTATATAGATATATAATAATAGACTTTGTTATGCATATATCAACATTAAATTCAAATGTGTGTGTGTGTAATGAGTAGAACTGCCTTAGGGCAGGTCCGTGAGATGAGGTCAACTTCAAATCAATTCAGGGAAGAATAGTGTGAGAGATTTCCCATTGCCATTTCATACCGCAGTGCCCGAAATGGTATATTTTCAATTAGAAACATATTTTTGATCCATATTTTCAACATGAAAATGAAAATTGACATCGCTGCTGCACGATATCAGGTTATCCAGAGCGAGATTGGAACTCACTACCCCCTGACACAAGTCAGCGCGCTTAACCGTTACACCATGGGACACTCAATGTATAAATATATATATATATATATATATATATATAAATATATACATATATATTAAAGCGGGTCGATTTGTATGAGTAAAAAAAGTCACATAGGCACATATGAATTTCGTATACTAGAGATCAAAATAAAATAAGAAGAAACCATATCTCTAAAATAAATTCTGATGTCCCGTGCATTCACCCAAAGATTGGGTCAAATTTTAAAAAATCTTGTTTTGAGCGCCTCAATAATGTTCAAATGTATGACCGACCCCCAGTAACTTTGGAAGGCCGATCTACCCATGCCCATGGTTCACCCCCTGAGACCTCCCTTTAGAGGTCCCACATACAAAAGTTGCATCATTTTGGGTACTTCAACATGACAAAAATCTGTGATTTATTTTTATTATAAAATTTATCTTATCATAAGATATGTAAATAAAACTGTGTAAAACTCGTAAACTATTTTTTGAAGTCTTTTTTAGTTTCAAGTCTGCAAAATGTTGCACGGCTCTCTAATAACGTCGCCGTAACAGCCTCCAGCTAGCGTAGAAACGCAGAGACAAAATGCATTGGAAAAATTGGAACAAAGAAGAATTTTAATAATTTTTATTTGTAAAAAAGTTTTTTGTGTGTGTATGAATTAATATCTGAAAAGAAATTGTTAACAAAAAAGCATTTTTTGTTGAGTAAAACACGAAAAACGATGATTTTTTGCAATATTTGTTTG